AGACTTTACTATTTCAAAAGAAACATGACCTAACCAACTATGCCACAAAAAAATTTGACTCTTATTTGACTGGCTATGTGACTCTGAGGATGACACCGAGAGACCAGCTTTGTTGTCAAGAATGTAGAGACCATCCACTAGGCTCCCTCTACCAATCGTCCTCCCAGAAGTTAGGTCCTGAAAAACACATGAACCAAGAAAAAAGGTTAAACTACGGTTTAAAGAGCTTGTGATACTACTAATTGAAAGCAAATTTATAGGAAGTTGAGGGACATGCAATACACAATTCAGGTTAAGGCCATAGGGAAGAGATATTGATCCTTGGCCTACAATGGAGGAGAATGAGCCATCTGCAAGCCTCACTTTATCCCTTCCTGACAAAAGGCTATAAGTCTAAAACAAGTTCGGCTTACCAGTCATGTAGTTAGAGGCCCCTGAGTCAATGATCCAAGGGGAACCAGTGGGAGTGGCATGGAATGTAGAAGCCGTATTACCTGATGTAGATGCAAATGAAGTAGAAGGAGTACCAGTGATTGAGCTATTCATCTGTCTCAAAGCCCTACCATATGACTCCAAGTAGTCTCTGAAGGAATTCATTATATCTTCCTCGGGGTCAGAACTATTAAGGTGGTCCCGAGTAGTACCGGCAACCTGAGTATCTTGAGTTGCCACATGTGCTACATTATATGTTGTGTTCATCTTCTTCTGACCTTGCCCTTTACCATGTTCTTGGTTCTTCACTGCCCACTTGGGTTTCCCGTGAATGTCCCAACATGTGTCACGTGTATGCCGTGAGCGCCAACAGTGGGTACAAAGCAACTTGTCATTATCATCAGCCTTCTTGGTGTCACTTTTCTTCCCCATGTTGTTATTACTCATTGCAGCCAAAGCAACTTGTTGCTCCCCCTCGGTTGTAACCATCACACTCCGCCTACTTTCTTCCAATTAAACAAGGGAGTATACCTCGTGAACCGACGACAACTCTTTGCTTCCTAAGATCTGAACTCTCAAGGGTTCATAGGCAGGGTTCAGTCCCAACGAGAAGGCAAACACACGCTGCTGAGAAACCAGCTTCCTGTAGGCCTTAGCATCGCCATCATGTTTCCACTCTATAGCCTGATAGTGATCCAATTCTTTCCATATGGAGGTAAGGGCTGAATAATAGGGAGACAAATTACGATTTCCCTGTTTACAGGTTGAGGATTCAGCTTGCAACTGGTAAACCTTGGCATAATGCCTTTGCTCATAATAGGTAGTTTTGGCTTGTTCCCAAATCTCACTAGCGGTGTTTGCCCACATAAAGTTCTYCTTCACATCAGGTTCCATGGCTACAAGGAGCCAAGACATCACCATACTGTTTTTTTGGTCCCACCTATCATGTTCAGCTATCTCACTCTTGGGTTCTTTCACACTTCCATTTATGTAACCATCTTTTCCCCTTGTCGTTACATAAAGTTTTACACTTTTAGCCCACTCCAGGTAGTTTAGACCATTTAAAGGGGTAATAGGCATGGGAAACATCATGTTTTCACCTCCCATACCAGCTGTGTTGCGGGTCGGTGTAACCCCCGATGAAGTTGAATCATAGTTTGCCATAGAKTACTGCTGAAATCAGWCCAAATCCCACACAACTACACAACAGCCACAAACAGAATACCAACCCTCAAGAAATTTACTTCTGGGATGTGGAAAAGAAAACAAAAAACTGCTAAAATCAACTCTGTGATGATTCAGTCATTAAACCAGCCCGGTAATCAGTCCAACACCAGCCAAGGCAGACGTTAGAATAGTATACTATCAGTCAGACTACAGCCCATACAGTCTAACAATCCAGCATTCAAACGAATGTATAGAACCAAGGAATAAGGCCTTCACACCATTGGCCAAAAACAAAAAAACAAGAACACATACCCTGTCCAGCACTTGTATGAAGGTGCCAACCAGAAACTGACTTCACAACATCGAACTGAAAAGAAAGGGAGTCTCTTTCTGCATCACCCTTCTTCGACTAGGGTTTCCTTGATATTACGACCAAGGAAGAACCCAAAGGAAGAGCCGCAAGTAGTCTACTAGGGTTTCTCTGTCTTCCACGTCCAAGAAATCAAAGAAGAAAAAGAGGACGAAGCAGGTTCAAATAGGAGAGACCGAAATTCTTTTATATCTCAAAACCTTGCTCTGATACCATGTAATCATTCATGGAGAGAGAGAGATGAGAGAGAGAAAGAGAAGAAGAGGAAGATATGATTGAGAGGAAAAGAAAAACCTTCTTCTGGCTGCCGCCAGTTCATTATTTATATTAACTTAATATAAAAAGAATGGAAATTACAAGTATGCCCCTGGCGGCACTCCCTAGAAACAAACTAATAAGAAAGAAAGAAAATAACTAACTGACAGCATCTTAAGCGGACAACCCACTAACGGCAACTATAAAATAACAATTAAATAATCCTCACAACAACTATTACTTATAAAAAATCAGGTCCCTACTCCCTACTACTAACAGGCCCTCAATTGCCCAATGTCTACACATATCTGGAGGCAAAAAGATGAGTCCAGAGAACAATCTGTTCAACAAAGTACAAGGTCAATAATAGGATCAAAAACAAAATCTATGGTGCAACACATATACCACTGCCACAGTTGGACTCATGTATTGGGGTTTGGGAAACTTTTGTTAGTTCTCTTCTTGACCTGGTTTTTTATGTGTAACCAAAGGCTTCTAAGATACCCTTGTACATATTTTATATTTGATACATTTTCCAGTTAACAATCAGAAAACAAACTACCATATTAGAAGCTACATAAAGGGAAGCCCAGTTTATGAGACTGCCACCAATGCAGGGTATATTAGCAGCTACAGAAGAACCATAAATTAAACAGCAATAATGACATCAATAGAACCTTACTTGAGCTCGCAGCAGTGTAATATCATCTTTAGTTTCTTCAGTTTCATATGTTGTTGTTAAATGCTTCCTCACATTATCTCGGGCATAGGGAAAAAGAACATCCATGACAAATGATATAGGAGTTGTTGTCCCTTCAATGTCAAGAACAATACAACGCTGCATACAACAAACCAGCAAGATATTAAAGCAAAGCATAACTTCAACTCTACAAACTATTAACCAAACAGATAAGGACCCCTAACTGTGTTTACTAAGGTTTGAACCTTGCATTCAGTACAAGTTTAACAACTAGCAATTAGCAAATGCTGATTAAAAAAGTCTAACAATTATTAAAACTAAAAATGGAGTTAATTATATGGTCCATAGAAGATTGACATAACACAAAAGGAAAAGGATGGTTTCTGAAACTTACTCGGGATGATTCAACTGCCTGGTTTAAATTCAAAGTCCCTGCCTTAACAGCCATGTTTACACTCCTATTGCCACCCCAAACTCTATGAATTGGACCATGACTTGGGGTTGACCAATCCAGTCCCAACTGATAAAGTTTGATAGCAGCATCAAAGAGATAGTGATAACACTCAGCCTGATACAGTAACTCACAATTAGAATAACAAAAACACAGCAGCCAGTTTCCTTGACATAAGGTAGCAAACTACATCATTGGACACATATGGATTTACTCAATTTCTTATATACAAACTAAAACACAGTTATATATGTATATGTGTAGGAGTATTTGTAATTTCAAATTATATACAACCACATATACATAATAATTAAATAAGTAAACATTTCAAATATGAGCTTTAATAAAAATCTTCCAGAAAGGCATGAATAAAAATATGCATGCAAAATAAAGAATATAGTCTTTCGGATACAAGGTTCTTATTTGAACATGCATGCCATTTCTGAGCTGGGGGGAGGAATCTTCCTAGGGAGGTCAAGGCATTCTTCTGAAAATTCTTACCTAAAACCCATTTAACTCAAAAAATAAAGAGCAACATCTGGCAGAGTGCTATACCACAAACCAGCCTTCATTTCCAGTATTTCAACATGCATATATGATGAGATCATATGTAAATATCATGTCCACAATATCACAAAATAAACACACACAAAACAACTATATGATACAAAAACAGTAAGAATATAAGCATCATATGCATATATATAATAATATATTCTAGAGGAAATATTGGCCACAATATTGATTAAAATGGAATAGTAAAATAATAATTATCTTAATGGAATGATAGAGAACATCATATATATTGGAAATTGTGCTTGTGCAAAGAGGGGTATTTCTGTCTTTTGAATTAGTCTGATATGTATGAAGGCAGTTAGGTGTTTCTATCTTCTCATTCACTTCTTTAAAAAAAAAAAAAAAAAAAAAAGATAAACTTTCATTGCAAGACGAAAAAGGGGGGAGGGGGTGTAAATTAGATGATTTGCAAACAAAAAGAAAAAGAAAAAGAAACTTCCACCTCAAACTTGGTCAGAGCATAATGATTCAAGTCCCTTGGAGTCCATCTGAGAACAGTACAAGGACGCTGATAATTCTCTAATTTCATTGAGGATTTAGCAATAAACAAGCCCGCAAGGAGAGCCCAAATCACAATGCTCTCAGAATTGAGAAATAGTCCCACTAAAGACACTTCCTTCCTTCCTTTGCTATCCATAAACTAAACCTGCTTATTGAAACTTCATGACATAGGTATCATAGCAGGTTTAAATATTGCAATTTATCTAAGAATCTACTTCTCTCATCATCTGCTCTTAGAACCTTCGCTTATCTGAATCTGAGCATATATTGCATAGGAAATTCAAATCTGCAATTCCCTTTCTTCTTTTTCCTTAAATCATGGTAACCATAGATGACTACAAAGTGATGATCATGGTGGTGTTAGACCCTCTACTAGAAGTTATCGAAGAGGTCTAGTGTATGCTCATGATAGGGATCTAATTTGAAGGCTTGGTGGAGATCACCTGTATTGGTAATGCCATGTCTGGTACCCCTAATGTATAGAAGAAAGAAAATTTTTATTTCCCTACTTAAGCCAATGGTATATTTTTATCAAAGGTAGATGGGGGGAAGCCAAAAAGTACATAAAAATCATTTCATAAAGTTTACATAATCAATTTCCTGATATGATCATCTTAGGGTTGGCCAATCACATCATCTTCTCATAGTCCACCCAACAAGTTTTAGAGAAAATTGCATATACAAGAATCTATACAAATAAAAAGGATCAAGGTTCCAACACAAAAAGATTCGAAAACAAAATGAAGGGAAAACAAAGATCATATCCCAAGAATTACCATGTAAGACATAATGTCCAAGAACCCAAGGAAACAAGTATGGAGTTATAAAACAATAAAAGAAAGGTATGATTTCCTTTTATTTACCTCTAAACACCATTAATTTATATCAAATCAATCATAACACTGTGAAAGGGTTGCTTCAAGCATGTCAGTTGAAGCTACTCTAAAGAATGGTTTTAATGTGCCTATGGTTGGTTTACATTAATTGATAGTAAGTTCAGGACTGATTAGTTTTTAATTGTTTTTCCTCCTAAAAGAATGCCAATCTTACCAATATATACGTAAATAGTGAGCATTCTACTATTCCCCAACAGTGTAATATATACAAAGCTTGTGTATGCCCTTGGAATTCACATAAACATGCATAGCAGCAAGGTTGTCTCTTCTCATGGTTATCACTTGCAAGTTTACATTCTAGTATTACTCTAATTATTTGTGAACTTAAGTTCAAGATGAGCTAATCTTATCGATGAATTATGTATAATCCATGCTTAGTTCACCAAATGGTGCTACAAAACTTGACACAGGTAACATAGACATATACAACTATGTAGTTTCTCCACAAGAAAACAAATAAATAAATAAAAATAATATTTATTCTAGAATTTCTTTTGGAGCATTTAGAATTTCTTTGACTCCAGAACTGATAGTTAACTAGTAAGACTTCAGTAAAGATTCAAAGTCTAATTACATAATCCTTGAGCAGTAGGACTAGATAATTTGAATTGAACAATAAAGATCACACAACTGGATAACATCATTAAGATTTTCTCTAAGTTGACACAACCTGAGTCTTAGCACTGATCCATGAGTCTCCCCATACATATATCCCATGGTTGCGAACAAGTACAGCAGTTGCTTTTGGATAGGCTTCAATCTGTAACACATCAAAGGTTGGTACAATAACTCAATAATGTTAATTCACAGATAACTATTAATAATTGGAAACAATAAAAGGTTGATGCAAGGAAAAGGAAGCACAACTTCAAACAAATGGGATTAATATGATTTTCCATAGACATCATGTAGTTCAAGATTTTATGAAATTACGCATGACAAAAGCAGGACGGACACCTTTTTTCCATGTGAAATAGAAAATGGGTTAGTGGTCAGTGGTTAGTTGTTAGAAATCCCATCCTCAGTAAGTGAAAAAGTGTAAAGTCAGAACAATTCTCTATATTGGAGCCAATCTATAGAATAAAAAAAAAAAAAAAAACCCTTTTGATAATTAACATCAAAAACTTTGCTAAGTGTGCATATGTGCATTTGATGTTGAATTTTTCCAGAAGGAAGGCTGAATTATAAATCTATCATACAATGCACAGTGCTGAACCAGAAAGAGTTAGTCAGTTATGTTAGGGTCCATTTGATAACTGCTGAAGTGGCAGAATTGAATGACTTATAGCTTTGTCTTTTATTAGATAAAATAATTTTTGATGGATTTAGTAGATAAAATAATTAAATAATAAAATGTTCCAAGGGACAATAGTGGTAAAGACAATTTTCAAGAATTAACCTTCAACTGAGGTTTTAGTTAAAATAAAGCGAGGAAGACAACAGATTATGCATATAGAAAATAAATATAAGAAAAAGAAAAAGAGACATACTGCTTGAATAAGAGATTCTGTGAGTTCACTCTCACGAGCAGTATTCTCTATTATTGGGACCACAAGCTCATCATGATAACCATGCCCTTGAATTCCTTTTATCATCTCCATATGAGTGATCTGCAAAGTTACAATGGAAAAACTAAATGAAACACAAAAGATGAAAGATGTAGCCAAACAATAGTTGACAAGACAACCATGAACAAGTACACCAACCCTTAAGCTTTTTTAATCAATTTAAGCACTGAAATAAGGATAAATTAAAAATCCCAAATGCACAAAGGAAAAAGATTCAGAGAGGAAGAAGTTCAGGAGGAGAAGACAAGATGTTCTCTCAAACTAAAACAAGTAAAGAATCTTGGTTAAAATATTTGTCTATTTTGTAAACATAAAAATATCACCCTGCTGCAATCCAGGCTTTAAAGAAGGGGGAAAGATAAAGTAGAATTTGAATGAGATTATTTTATAATTTACAGTTACATACCATAAGGAAGGAAAAAAATCTTGCATAAAGCAACAAGGTTAAAACTAAAAGTACTCAATTCAACTCAACAAAGCCTCATCTTAACCATATTGGTCGGCTAAATGAATCCCAATTCACCATTCTGCTCTATCGAGGGAAATACCCATTGTTAAATTGTGAGCACTCAAATAATTTCTCACTACCTACATTGCATAAGTTCTGAGTCCGGGTGTCAGGTTGGGAGCATGTCCAAGTTTAGGATCTGCACGATAGACTGATCCTAACAATTTTGCCTCTACAATGAATTGTCCTATACCTATATCCATGTCCAAGTGTCCACATCAAGTGTCAACATGGGTACCTTGGGATAATAGAAGGATCTGGGTAAAACAGCTAACTCCAACCAAGTCACAGGATGCTCACTTGGGCACCCAGGTAATTGCTTAGTCTTGCATATTGGAACCAAGATGCCATGTTCTACATGCTTTCTCCTTATTAAAGCCTTTACTTTTCTTGAATTTCTTATACTAATAATGGAAAAAAGAAAATTGACTATTTTTCACCACACCAAAGAGGGCTACCCAAGTTGAAAATTGTTAAACAGAAACGGAATGGCATGGAGAAAAACATGGCATGTGAAGGCTGTAACTCAGCCTGACGTATATTCATTTTCTTTGATAGGCAGTAATTTTTCTTCTTTTTCTTTGCCCGGATATACCTCCATCTTCATCTTCAATATAAGCAATAAAAATCTCTTGATATTGTAAGCAATCTAATAATAACTTTCAAAGTAAAAGTGTAGAAAATTACTCGGAACTCCTTTGAGAAGGGATCGATCATTGTTACAAGGCAAGCCTCCATTCCATGGCTGTGGATGACTGCCCCAGCATTACGCATCTCATAAGCCTGGAAAAGAATATATATATATATATATTCAGGTTAGTAGCCGAAGAAGAAGAAGAATATAAAATTCATATGAACAAATCACCAATGACGAGAAACACTGGAGAAAGTCCAACTAGGATCATGCTTCCAGATTGAAGGAAAAATAACAAATCAAAGAACTAACTTTTCAAGCTGATTTTATACAGACTTCTTCGTGATGGGGGTTGCCCACATAAACAGATACCTTCCACTTAATTTGATGTTCTCACCATCATTTACATCCTCGTGTAATCTCAGTCATCACTTCCAATCACACATCAGTAAATCCCGTTAAAAACCATGAGAATGTCACAGATAGTGTCTGTTTTTAATCAATAATCAGGCATCTAATAAAAACAGAGCTTTGCGATCATATTCCGAGATCTCATTACCAGACCCAAATAGCAACTTTGGAAGTAGCACTCAAAAGAAACCGCTTTAAGACAACATGGTTTATAATATTCGTGCAATCAAAACAGAAAAAAAAAAAAAAGATATAACTAAGATGAATAAATAGAAGTGCAGAGAGGGAGATTAGATACCTTCATGAAGAGGGGAGCACACTCAGAACACTTAGGAGGCTTGTGGGGATAAGGCTTTGGAGAAGGAGCGGAGAGAACAGACCCACTTGAAGAAAGCACATACATGTCCTCGGGAAGCATTCTTTCCTTCTGAACACCTACTCATTGATTAAGAACAAACCAGAGTTACATCAATTAAATTCAGTTACAAAGAAGAAGATGATGATGACGATGATGAGTAAGTACCAGATGGAGACATGACGATGAGCTGTTGGGGTTTAGGAATGGAGTCATCATGGACCTTGATGGTGATGCTGCCTCCGGTGCCCGACACCCACCCAAGTGTGTAGAAGTGGCGGCAGAGCTCGGACACCAGAGCCCTCGTCTCCTTCACGCCTTTGCTCTCCAGGTATGCCTGTGATACCCCGTTCACTACTGCATCTGAGTTTGCAGCCATGTCTGTGCCTTATTTCCCTCAGTGAAGCTAGGTGCTGGGACCAAAGACAATTTCCGACGCTCTCTCTCTCTCTCCTTATTTGTTCAAACTGCAAACTTATATGGCGGACGAGAGAGAGAGAGAGAGAGAGATTCGATGCCAAGATCAGAAAAACGAACGATTGACGAGGCAGAGAGAGAGAGACAAAGATGCTAGTGGCACGAGTCACTATGCGTAGGTAATTAATTTGCGACGACAAGCATCGTTCATTGGTAGGCGTCCACGGTCTGGCTGCTTTTTAATTATTCCGTTTAGTGTTAAATTACTGAAATAGACCATTGTTTTAGTGAAATTACTTATACAGAGACTTTCGGGTTTAAAGGTGTAACTCGGGTCAAATTTTGACAAATGCTAAAACCCGAGTCCCGAGCCCGCCCAAATTCCACCGGTAACTCTAAAGTCTGTTCAGAAAGCTAAATAAAATGACATTTTTCAGGTCTCAAATCTAAATATGGTAGATATATTTCTTTGCTCCGAAAATATTGGAGTGTTTGTGTTGGGGTGTCCATTCAATATTTTATAACTGCTTATTTTATCATTTTGCCCTTACAATTCAGTTGATGTTTCTTTTTTTTTTTGATAAAACCAAGGAAAAAGGGGCTATAAGCACGTCCCCATAAATCAAAAGAGACTAAGAATTAAGGAACCATTAACGAAATTTGAGTGTGCATAGTTAGCTACTTAGTTATCCAGTCTACGGCTATATTGGCTTTTTAGATAGGTATGATTAAGGGTATCGGCCCGTATTGTGATAATGTTTTTACAGGTATCGGATCAGATCATGATTTAGAGGGTAACCGGGACTTAAATTGATCTTTCTGAGTTAATTTTAAAAGAATAAATAAAACATAAAAAAAAATATCAATACAGATCAATACGTGTGTAAATACTTTAAATCTTGGGCATGACAATACTTCATTTCACCATCCAACTTCATGAGAAAAGACCTGTAATCTTCAATTATCGATTTTAATCTCTATAAGAGCTTCAGTCGGTTATTCAGACTAAGGTTCAAAGTATTGATACGTATCAATCGATATATATCGTGCCAATAGCTTATTAATACGTCCTTCCAGGAGTTGTATTGGGTCAGCCACCAGTTCAAAAGGTAGCCGAGCCTTAAACCGATCCCTCCAAACCGGTTTCAAAAAAATAAATAAAAATGTATCGACACAGGCCGATATGCCCTACCAGCATATCAACCTGCGTTGATAATTAGAATCTTGATTCAAACAGTTAATTACCAATTTAGTATTCTTGTTGTTGAAATTAAGAGTCACATTATGGGCTTCCCAAGTAGCCCATGTTTTAGCTGGATCGATGGTAGAAGAGCCAATGCAATAAGCCTTAAAATCAAGGATTTGGCCCAAATGATCCCTAGACACACAAACAATAGCATAAGATCCATTGATGCAAGAGGCATTAAAATTGATCTTAATAGCACCCAATCCCGGATTTATCCATCTAATTGGAATACAAGTTTTATCTTTGTTAAATCACGGATTAATGTCCATGTACATGACCAAATTTCTAGAAAATAATTTTGGGCTCTTTCAATAATAATAGGGGTGTATTTTTATCATTACAGTTCTTCCATAAGTTTGTGTGTGAGTGCTTTGGGACCAATTTTTAAGAAAAAACACTCATGCTTTCATGACTTGTTTTCTACAAAAAAACACTTTTGCCACATAGGCAGTGAGCAATACTATGCTGTTTGGTAAGGTGATTTTCATCACCGTTTTTCATGTATGTGCTAACAGGTAAGCACCACATAGGATGCACATCAGTCAACCGCTGGCATTTCATGCATCAGTGGGGTCCCGATTTTTTAATAATCGGCTGAACCAAACAATGAGATATATGGGCGTTTGTTGAAACGCCTATATGGATCCGACGTGGCATCGTTTTTTCTGAAAAACGGCCACGGTTCCTAACATCCCCTATATTTACTTAATAGGTATTTTCACCAATCCAATATCAATACATGAGAACTAATGGGCAAGTTCAAAGAGTTTTGAGTAGTTAATCCTCATCCTCCACACACACACTGCGACTGAGTTTGGAAGGAGTGCAAATGCAAATATGTAGAGTGCAAAGCCTTATATTTTATATTATTTTGTATGTATTTACACTGTACATATTTGCAATTATACTCTTTCCAAACTACTGAGCCTTATCAAACACTCTAGAAACCATTCTTCTATTTCTCCTTCACCCTATGGTCCAAACGCAAACCTAATTGCCCAAGCTACCTAACAGTTTTATCCTCCGGTAGCAAACAGAGATCACAGAACCACCAACGCCCACCTCCTCCTCCTCCTCCTCCTCCTTCTTCTTCTTCCCCGGCCATGACACCAAACCAACAGCATTAACTTCCATCTCCCCCCCCCCCCCTTTTCCCTCTTATCCTTATTATTTTCTTCTTCAATCTCCAAACATTATAGAGCACCACCAACACCATCAATGCCCATAGTGTTTGTTAGAGAAGATGTGATACAGACAATAATGGTGGAAGACATTGTTTTATTTTATAGTTCAAGAAAAAAGAACTCGAATTAGAGGTTGAATTGGGTCTAAAAGAAGGAGCAACATGGATGGTTTTGAAAAGTTATAGGGATAACGGCACTTAGGACTTTGGTTAGGCCCTGAAATATGTCTAACCATGTTAAGCGATTAGGCCATGTCTTACCATTTCAACCCCCTTTTTTTTACCAAAGATTATGTTAAAACCTAAATACAAGCATGTCATGCATCTGAAAAGCATGTTTTTCATACATTAAACATCTAAAAAGTCTTATCAAGCACCACCTAAATTTCTCCATGTCTCTTAAAGAGATGACCGGAGATGAATAGCCTCTCAGTGCCCATTTGGGAGGGCGTCAGCTTTGTTTGAGGCTTTGAGCTGTGTTGAAGAAGCTACTAAGAACCAGCTTAAGGGCTTTTACATGGATCAAAATTTAAAAAACTGACCTGAAAATGAAACTGCTTTGTCCACTAGTCTTAGGTCAACAGTTTAACTGTCTAAGTCTAATGTTTGATTTATAAAATCATAAATAAAATACAAAACATAAAAATATTTATAAATTCTTAAAAAACATAGAATAAAATATTTATACATAATAAAATTACAAAGGGGGACTGGAGTGCGGGTGGCCCGTGCAAAGTGTGGGTCGTGTCGTGTTGGCCCGCAAGTCGTTACGGGTCGTGCCGCCATCCTTGGTGAAAATTTTGGGGTCAGCCCAACACAGCTCACGGCCCAGGCCCGTGCGGGCCCATGTTGTGCCGTGCCACGGGACGAGCCTTGGGCCTAGCCGGGCTAAAGCTATTTATTTAAAAAAAATGACAAAAGCTTAAAATTTTAATTTTATATGAATTTTGTGTATACAATTGCTTATATATACAATAATTGAATAAATTAGTATAATAAAATTAAAAAAAATATATTTATTTTTATTAATATATTATATACTATATATTATTATATAATTATATATAATATATATATATGGGTTGTGCCCGTGAGTGGCACAGCCCACTCAGTCATGTTGTGTCGTGCCGGCCCATAGACCTAAAACCCCAAACCTAGCATGGCTCGCATGATCGTATCGGGCTTGGCACAGCCCACGGACCATCATGCCGAGCCGTGCCAGACCGGTCGAAGTTCATGCCAGACTGTATCAAGCCACGGGAGGCACAGCCCGATTTACACCTCTAAGGAGATAATGATAATCCAATCCAATTTATTGAAAATTCCCTCTCACTGTTCATGCCAGATTGTATCAAGCCACAGGAGGCGCAGCCCGATTTACACCTCTAAGGAGAGAATGGTAATCCAATCCAATTGATTGAAAATTCCCTCTCACTGTTGTCATAATACCAACAAGATAGGGTGAAAATTCCACGGAAAAGGCAAAACCAATGCCAAGAGCTTGGTGATGAAAAAGGTGATAGAATCTCTCTGCCTCTTCACGAATCACGAAAAGATATTGCAGAAGATTATGATGCTTCCAAGGCTTGCGATGGAGATGTATCTTTAGATGGTGTTTGAAAGTGTGGGCTTTTTTGGACCGATTTTCAAAAAAAAATGTCCATGTTTGTTAAACCCGTTTTTCACAAATAAATATATTTATATGTTTGATAGTGTTTCTGCCACGTAGGCAATAAGCAATATTAGCGTTGTTTGATAAGGTGGTTTCCGTCACCGTTTTTCATGTATGTACACACATTATTCCATATGATGGATACACGTAAGCACCACATCATATAAACCGTTGGGGACAACGGTTTGCCAATGCATTTCATGCAACAGGAGGGATATACTTTACGATGCATGCCTGTTTTTTACCGTTTTTTCAAAAATCACCTGAACCAAACAGTCATATAGGCGGTGAAAAGTGGAATCGCCTACATGAATCCGATGTGGCAACATTTTTCAGAAAAACATCCACGATACCAGACATTCGCTTAAGGTTGTCTTGGAAAGCAATTGCTCCACCATTATTGAGGTCTTGAAGATACAATCTACTTCTCTCCCCATTAATCCACCATTGGAAGGAGATGTCGCCACTTCAAATAGCTTCACTGGACCCACAACCGCTGCAGTTCAACCACTCAGCTCAGCGGTTCTTTGACTAATTCAATCTTTTTTTAGTCTAAAACCAGACCCTGAGCCATGACCCATTCTTGGGTTGAACAGTTCAACTGTTTGGTCTGGCCCGGTTTTTAAAACAGTGACATTGATTAAGCTATATTGACTAAGTGGTTTCAAAGAAGCTATCAAAACTAACTTCACCGAAAAGGTGATTTCTCAACTCAACCACAATGCTTTTTGGCTTTACGGGGTTTCACCAAATATATCTTCACGGCTTTCCAAGTGGGGTATACGTTGCAACACCAAAAGCTACTATGAGAAAGCCCTCCCAAACAAGCACTAAAGCTAGCTTTGCCAAAACTTGGATTTAATAGCTCAATTAAAATGTATTCAGCTTTTTGGGTTCTTCACCAAACATAGGTTCGAAGCATTCTATGTGGGGCCGACATTGCAAAACTAGAAGCCACTACATAAAAACCCTCACAAAAGGCACTTATTTAAAATGCTTAATCAAGTTGGGAAGAATTCTACCCTATTTTAGACCTTTTCTATGGGATGTTTATAGTTACAAAGTGGCTGAACTGAACTGAAAAGAAAGAAAGAAAATAATATATTTAATAAAAGATAAATATATACATATACAAAATAAATGTAATTATTACATATATATACAAAATTAGGTATCACATTAATAAAGTTTTAAAATATCTGTAAATTAGGTAAAGCTATATTTATTTAGAAAAAAGGGTTATAAATGTAAAATAAAATTTAAAGAAAGGTATCAAATTTAAAAGAACATGATTTAATAAAAAATAAATAATATAAATTAACTATGAAAGAAAAAATATATAAGGAAATTAAAACATATGATTAATTTTATTTAGGTAAAGTATTGCACCATAAAATATATGATCAATTTTAACACAAAAAAAAAGAATATAAACATAAAAATTGCTATAAAAATAAATAAATTGTACCCTTAATGCATAAAATATTACAAATAGTTTTAGTATGTATGTAATACTAACTAATTTAGATAAACAAAGCTATGAACGTAAAACAAAATAGAAAATAAAATTTTAAAAAACATAAATCTCATATTAAAAAGAATATGTATATAATAAAAAGAAAATATATAAGTTGGCTATGAAATGAAATAAATTGTGTGTGTATACACACATTATATTTATATACTTAAAAATAAAAAATCATATTTATACTTTGAGGCTTACACCTCGCTTCTTTAGCGCTCAACTAAATCTCATAATAAAAAGAATATGTATATAATAAAAAGAAAATATATAAGTTGGCTATAAAATGAAATAAATTGTGTTTATACACACACATTGTATTTATATACTTAAAAAATAATAAAAATTATATTTATACTTTGAGGCTTACACCTCACTTCTTTTCTTTAGCACCCAACTGCCTTGTCTCCACCTTTACTCTTTTAAAACCTTGGGTGAAAATAAAAAGAACTGAAAGATGGGCAGGAAAATAAACCTAGGAGACCACCGTGTAATTCAACATCCATAGCTATCGCAGTGCTTGCTTCAGATCTAATTCACCAGAAAAGGTGGGATTGGGTGGATCAGAGCCATGACACAACCAACTAGGGGTGTCAATTGAATTGGATTTGGTCCAATCCGATCCAGTCCAATGTGAGTTCATTATAAATGGACCAGGTCCAATCCAATCCAATGAATATTTTGGACCGGTCCAATTGAATGTCTGGACCATTCAATCTGTTCGAATTCGTTTTGGTTTAGATTGGTTTCAACCCAACCTTGGTCCATTGGCACCTATATTCTTATCTTTATCAATGGATAAGATATTGGCTTAATCCAACTCAATTCAATATAAATTTATTATGGACAGACCAGGTCCAATCCAATCTAATAAATATTTTGAATCAAATTGGTCCAATCCAATATATCTTGTTGGTTCGTCCAATCCGTCCAAATTGATTTTAACAGGAGGGGGTCCCATCCAAAACCGGTCCATTGACACCCTTAACACCAACTGAACATGTAGTTAATTAGAAAACAATTGGTTCTTCGAATCTCCATGACAAATCCACATCGAGAGACTGCAAGCAACATACATATACTTGTGGTCTTGTAGACTGTTGAAAGGGATACAAACCAGAATTGACACCACATCTCTATTGAAGCTATTAGGAAAATGACACCATTTTGCTCAGTAAGTTTCCTTTTGCTTTGCTTAAATGGAAAGTAAAAATGATATAATCCCCAAGCGAAGGTAACAGAAAGGTTGTTACTTTGGTAGGAGTGAAACCCCAACTTTATATGAGAGAATCAAATCAACGGAGGTAGTGCAAATTTTACATCACTTATTGGAAGAAAATTTTGAATTGCATGAATGCCAACTACAAATGGGACAAAAATTGCAAATTCCACAGCGGGTAAAAGTACAACTCAGTCAGACGCAAAATGGGATCGTTTGATAACAGCTGAGGATGCTAAACCGAAAAGCTTAATTATCTTTTTGTAAATAGGCTGAGTTTGGAAAGAGTACAAATGCAAATATGTACTGTGTAAATACATACAAAATAATGCAAAATATAAAATTTTGCACTTTACGTATTTGCATTTGTATTCCTTTCAAATTGAGCCTTAATGGATGAAATGGAAGTTGGATAGATCACTACATCCTTTAAAATTTTATTATTATTTGATAGTTTAACAACTTCAGCTGTTATCAAACGGCCCTTAGCTCAGTTTGGAAGGAGTATGAATACAAACATATACATTGCAAAAACATATAAAATAATATAAAATTCAAGGTTTTGTACTATACATATTTGTATTTGTGCTCTTTCCAAACTGAGCCTTTGAAAGAGTACAAATGCAAATATATAGAGTGCAAAACCTTTTATTTTGTATTATTTTGTATGTATTTGCGCTGTACATATTTGCATTTGTACTGCTTTCAAACTGAGCCTTAAAAACAAATTTCAAGCACAAGCTGATAAAAGTGGTGTGAAACAAATCTCAATCTCAAGCACAACGTAAGATCATGATACATGAAACAAGTAGAAGTTGTGTGAAATCTGAAGAAACAAAAGAATGAGAGAGAAAATGGATGCCCACATACATCCATGAGCTGCTGCTGCTGTGTGTCTATCTAGATGTTCTTCACCGTCGCACATTGGTCGGAATTTGCAACAGTAACCGTTGTAGGTAATGGAGTTCCTCCTCTTCATAGATCGGGAATACTTCTTTAAACAAGATTTAATAAAAGGGTAAAACTGATATTTCATCATTTCTATCAAGATTTAATGACGATAACAATTGCCAAAAAAAACTTCAAGGTACTTTAAGATAATATGTAAATAGTAAGAGTAGAATTGATCAATTTCCTAAACCTTAAGAGTACTTTAACAATTTTGACTTTTTGTTTTTCCTTTGCGCAAAATACAAAAACCTCCCCTGAAGTTTCTGACAATCATAAAAACCTTGCTTGTAGCTTCACTTTGACAAAATCCTCCCCTGAATTTTTAAAAAATTCAACAAAAACCTCCCTTCTGTTAACGGAAACAAAAACACATTAAATATGCATAATTTTTTTTTCCAAAATACCCGTTTACCCTTTTGTAAAATGGGAACTGAAATCAAATGCCCCTGAGTACTGAAATAAAATACATGTTACTAAAGAAGACTTTCCTGTTGAAAGCTGCTCTTGCCTTTCCATTGGCATCTCTCCGCAACTCTGGCCAAGATTTAGAGCGTGAGCGCTCAACAATATTTTTCGTATGATATCTCTCTTCATCCACATCTTTAGTGCCACTGTGTCATTGGCGTGACTTCTTGGAGACTTTCCTGTCACCACCACCAACGACAAAGGAGCTTTCGGAAGGACCTTGGCAGAGATTAGCCATAGAATGAACCCAAGTGAAGTTCTTTGATTTGTAACTATTATATCAGAGATTAGCCATAGAATGAACCCAAGTGAAGTTCATATGGTTAGAATCCCTTATTTTGTATGTTTTAGGATAACTTCCCGATGGCTATGTGGATTTTTGCGTTATATCCTGGTCTGTATTTTCTTTTTCTTTTCTCTTCTTTTCTTGTTTTTGGTAGAAATCCATTACTCATTTCTGGTTGAGGAAGAATTGCTCACCCGGTCCAGTCAAGATGATCAATAATGATGATTGGTGCCATAAAATTTTACCTTCTAAAAAAATCAAAGATAACTAGTGCAGTTGAATATTTCAAATAATATCAATCAAAGAAGAGGAAAAAGAATGAAATGCACTTGACATATCTGCTTTAATAAAAGAAATTCACTTGGCAAGAATCATGACCTCTGGTTTCCTCATCAGGGATAAAAGGTAAGTAAATGGTCCTCACCGGATGGAATCCATAATCCTTCAATATGAGGATGGCCTCAAGCTACTACATGCCAACACATTTCACATCCTATAATCCTCTAGCATCAACTTGGTCGAGGTGGGCATTGAAAGGGAGGTGGTTCCATTTCTGAAGCTCAATGGGAGCAACATTAGTGTGTGAGTTCAACATAATTGAAAGCAAGGTCCGAATATTCTAGTGCTAGGGCTTTAGCTTGAGAAAGGATGAAATTTGTAGCCGTGGAGGAATCAAGGTTTGAATAAGTTGTGTTGATTTGCAAGTATTTCTGGAGTCTACTAATCACCCACCCCCAATGGATACAACCGAAACAACGATTAAGGGCTTTTCTGATAAAAATAATAGAGCACGCATCCTCTATATTCAGTACAGAAAAATTAACAAAAACAATGATTAAGGGTTTTTCTGAAGGGAAAAATAGAGCTCACATCCTCTATATTCAGTATAGAAAATTTATTTATACTTGACCGAAGGAAGTTTTAGGGGAGAAAGAGTCTATGGTGGCTGAATGCTACCTCTCTCCGTAACTCGATGGAGTTTCACGATAGGAGATTGAAAAAAGAAAGAAGACAACAAATGGGTTATTTCAAGTTAAAATTCAAAGGGTAGAATGGATATTTTGTAAAATTTAATGCATCGGTTGAAAGTTTTCCATCTGGATAAGTGATGGAAGGGAAGTATGTGTAGAGTTTTTCAAAAGCTTAAGAGAGGTTTTTTGTTAAAGTAAAACCTAAAGGGAGGTTTTTATGATTGTCAGAATTTTCAGGGGAGGTTTTTGTATTTTACCTTTTTACTTAAGCATGAGAACTAAAATCCAAGATTCAAAATTTTGATAGGGCCCGATATGTCTGTATAGGGGGTGTTTTGAAGTTTAACCTGGTTCAGGGGGTAAATAAGCCTTAAACCAACCTCTGAGACAGGTCTGAAAAAACTAAAAAAAAATAGGGAAGCAAGCCTCAATACAGTCCAATATGTCCGCCCTGCCAGTATATCGAGCTGTATCGGTATTCTGAACCTTGCTTGAATCCATCATGGGCAAAGTTTTCAAATTCATGGTCTTGGAATTTCAACGACTTTTCCCATCGAATAAGTGGTCAAAGTAGTATCGTGTGTTCCTCATTTGAGTGCAGAAATCCATAGGAAAGAAGAAGAGAAGGTAGTGCCAAACAGCCTCGCGTTTTTTTAAATTTTGGAAAATTCTCAGAATTTATTTCTTTCAGAAAAAAAAAATGAATTATGAAAATTTTCTAAAATTGATGCCAAAACAGGGCCTAATCAACTGTCATTCATTCTTACGTGTTTCTGATTGGTTAAAACTTGTCAGGTACCATACCTTTCGGGTATCATAGATATGCCATTTTTCTGTCAAAGAAAATAACAGCGGATTCACAGACCGAGCAAAGACCAAAAGTCCAGTCCCTTCATCCATGTCAACCCGGTACTCATCGAACGTACTTGAATAAATTGAAACCAAACTGACAGTGGACATCACTTGGGCCATCTGTTCACGGTTCAACTCATGCATCCAAATCAAGTGGGTCAGTAGACGATGCCAGTATTATTACCTTATAAATGCATTATAGAGCTCCTCCACGCCTCTACCCCGGAGGATTGAACGTAAGAAAGAGAGGGAAGCATCCAGGCATACAAAATGAGCCAGTGTAATGTAGGAGATTCTACGCAAGATTTGTAAAATTTACAAGGCTGAGAAATTATAGCGGTAAGCATGCTACAACATCTAGTTGCCGGGTAACTACATAATACAGACGCCACTTCAATTATTTTTGAGAAGAGATGGCGTCCAACATTTTAAGAGTAAACATGACCTACTGCTCCTATGATGTGTACATATGTATACAGTTGCCTCAAATAGAAGACACCTGTGGGTTTGAAGCAGAGCCCTCCGCCAAGCCACCCCCACCCCCA